CCATATATCTTCCCCAAGTTTCCTTCTATTATCTTTGATGATAGGGGTTGTTTGGGGATAAAAATGATATATTGGCACGAGATCATGTTGTGTTACCTAGGGTATGCCCCTTTTAAATGTGTAATTTTTTGTCTTTAATTTATGACTTGCCCACCCCAAAAAAAAGAAAACAAAAGAAAGAGAAGTAGGAAGAAAATCAAAAGAAATTCAAATTCATCCTTTTGGACTTGAGAATTGAACACTTAGGTGATTTAGAAAACCTTAAATGAGATGCTTAAGTCAAATTAATATCGTTAACCTACAGTTGGTTTGAGTTAAACTTGGCCACTTAAGCTAACCAGATCGTAGAACAAAACAGAGAAGGATGGAGAACGGCAGAGAAAGAGAGAAACATTTTGCTTGAGAGCTAGAGGAGAAAGTTGTAGAAAAGAAAGAGAAATAGGAATAAAATCTAAAGGAATTCAAATTCATCCTTTTGGACTTGTGAATTGAACGATTAGGTGATTTAGAACACCTTAAATAAGGTGTTGAATTAAACTTGGCCACTTAAGAACAAGTATGGTTAAGTTAGAGAGAAAGGCTCTTCTTGAGAGGTGGAAGAGAAAGTTAGAGAAATGAAAGAGAAAGATGAAGAAAAACAAAGGGAATTCAAATTCATCCTTTTGGAGTTGAGAATTGAACACTTAGGCGATTTTTTTTTTTTTGGGGGGTAAGTAAGTCATAAAATAAAGACAGTAAAATGTACAAGTTTACAAGGGGCATACCCCAGGTACACCCTACAACAAATAATAGACGAAACAATGGACATCCTACAACATAAAACCACCCTCGCAAAATCGAGGGAACAACAGAAAAAAAAACAAGAACCCCACTTTGCCCATATATCCTTTTTGTCCCCAAGTAACCCCTACCATCAGAGATAATAGATGGAAACTTGGGATGGATATATGGGCAAATAAACAAAACACACCACAGACTCATAAAATATAACAGACAAACACACAATACAAATGTAACTAACTAAACACCCAACAAAACCAATCGAAAAATGATAACTGCCCCCGCTTGCTCCCAGTCTCTACCACGGATGAAAGCATGGAATCCAATAAGCATCTCGCTTCTCATAGCCGTGACATCCTAGCCACTCAACCAAAGCCATGACGAATGAAAAAATATATCCCATGAAAGATCCTGGCTGATTCACATGAAGCCTGCATAGTCAATCACCATAATCAACAGTCTTGCGAGGTTTAGTGAAAGGACAATAGCCCCGCTGCAACAAACCAATACATAGCCAACAAAACATGAGAGCAATCATCATATCCCCCAGTCCCTTCCTTGGTAGATCATAAGCCTCAAACCCCACGGCAGTGTCCCCTTCACTCCATGTTAGGCATGGCAATACAATCAATTAGGATGAGTCACATGAAGACAATAAGCAACCAGAAACCGGTAGCTATCCTCCCCCTCATCTCCCAGTCTCGAACTCGGCTAGTTATCGAACCACTATTCCCCAAAGCAGTGACTCCCCAATCACTCTTGGCGGAGATAGCTCAAAACCACCCTCATAACGAGTCACATGAGGATTAACAATCAATTATCATGAAATAACCGACTACAAAAGGTTCGTTGTATTGTGGCTAATCAAAAATATATGGGCTCACCAATAAATTGAGACCCAACACAATTGAGCCCAAGAATAGGCCCAACATCAACAAGACCTCGTGCACCATGAAAGGTGGCCCACAGACTGCCCACGAAATGCCCACTAAAAAGAAATAATTATAGTGGCCCATCAGCTTTAACCCAAAATTGGACACCAAAAAAAAAACCCACCAGCACCAGTATCTGGACAACCACGTGCCAAAAAAAAAAAAAACGTGCACATCAATGCACAAGCAACTCAGCCGAGAGAAACCAACATGAATTGCCTACCAACAAAACAAATCCTGGAAGAAGCCCATTATCCAAGTGACGTGGGTAAAATTAAATAGACCACTACATTCACCAAAAAAATAATTCAAAAAGTAATACTCCCTTGCTGGCCCACCAGACCAAAACAAAAATGGCCCACTAATTAACCTATATACACAGCCTCACTTTTTGAAAACCATTTGATTTACAAAACCACCCACTTTTTGAACAGCCCATAGAAAATCACAACTCCACCACGTAATGGACCATACCATTTTCGGCAGAGCCGCGGCACACTAGGTGGGATATTTCTGCATCTTCATGCACGGTTTTGGCTGGACGTAAAGCCACGCGCCATCTCAAGAATTCTGAACAAATGACCAGCGGAACCCATTGCCGGAGTAACCCAAAACGATGGTGGCCCACGGCCATTAGCTTGAAACCAAGATAATCTACACACTTGGACCTCTACCGTGGACGGCGAGATCACCGATAACAACCACCGTCAGCAACATGACCCGTCAAAAACTCGGCGAGCCACAGCCACAGCAACGGCGTAAAACAAAACCTTGATTCCAGGACCACTCCGGCACGATAACCCTCTGCGAAGACACAAGAAGGCACTACCGATGAAGTCCATGAATCCAGAACACACCACCGGCGCAGAAGCTTGCCGGCGGACTCATATAAACATTCAAACACCATCCATCTGACCATTACCGACGACGAGAACAGTGCCAGAGAAGAAGAATCAACAACTTTGAGCAATCGCCGGAAGCAGCCACCAGAAAAAACACACCAGCGACTTCCGTGGTCTGGACACCAACGATAGATGCTGCATATACGCTGGCAGCCAAACATAGGACGTGGACACACCCCACCGGCACCGTAAATCTCCGTCAAAGTGCCACCCACGCCAGGAGGACTTACCCAGCATCACTCCAATGATCACCATCTTTCTCTCTCTAGAAAACCAGAGAGAGCAACACCTAGAACACATTTAAGAAGTTGAACAATGAACTACCGCCATAAGAATGACGGCCACCTCCATGAGCAACGACAGAGTCTCATGGTCACCAAGATTAACTCAACTCATCAGATTATAACCATACACATAATCAACAAACAAAACACGCTTACTCACACACTAAGGCCAGAGTGGAGAAGCTAACAACTGGCCAGAACTGCACCAGACATCATGGAACCGAAGGGGGGAGAGAGAGGCTCTACTTTCTTCCCCTGTCTTAAATGAGGTGCATAAGTTAAACTCTTATTATGGTTAAGCTAAAATTACTCAGAAAATTATCGTTCTTAGAGGACCAAGCAAGGTTTGTTTGAGTTAAACTTTGGCCACTTAAGCTAATGAAACAATTGATGGCCTAAGCTAATTAGTTCGTAGAACAAAATAGAGAAGGATGGAGAACGGCGGAGAAAGTTAGAGAGAAAGATTTTGCTCCAGAGCTAGAAGAGAAAGTTGCAGAAAAGAAAGAGAAATAGGAAGAAAATCAAAGGAAATTCAAATTCATCCTTTTGGACTTGTGAATTGAACACTTAGGTGAATTAGAAAATCATAAATGGGGTGCTTAGGTAAAACTCATATCGTTAAGCTAAAGTTACTGAGGAAATTCTCTTTCTTAGGGGCTAAGCGAGGTTAGTTTGAGTTATACTTGGCCAATTATGCTAACGAAACAATTGGTGGCTTAAGCTAAGAAGGATGGAGAACGACGAAGGAAGTTAGAGAGAAACGTTCTTGTTGAGTGCTAGAAGAGAAAGTTAGAGAAAAGAAAGAGAAATGGGATGAAAATCAAAGGAAATACAAATTCATCCTTTCGGACTTGAGAATTGAACACTTATGTGATTTAGAAGGCCATAAATGAGGTGCTTTTAAGTTAAACTCGTATCGTTAAGCTAAAATTTACTCAGAAAGTTCTCTTTCTTAAAGGCTAGGCAAAGTTAGTTTGGGTTAAACTTCCGCACTTTTTTGGGTGAATAAAACTTCCCCACTTAAGTTGATGAAACAATTGGTGGCCGGAGCTAATTTTTTTGTAGAACAAAATAGAGGAGAATGGAGAATGACGTAGCAAGTCAGAGAGAAACATTCTTCTTGAGAGCAAGAAGAGAAAGTTTGAGAAAGAGGTTAGTGTGAGTTGAACATGGCCAGTTAAGCTAATGCAACAATTGGTGGCCTAACCTAATTAGTCGGTAGAACAAAATAGAGAAGGACAGAGAAAGTCAGAGAAAAAAAGAGAAAGATGAAGAAAATCAAAGAGAATTCAGATTCAGCCTTCTGGACTTGAGAATCGAACAACTCATATCGTTAAGCTAAACTTACTCAGAAAATTCTCCTTCTTAGGGGCTAAGCAACTCTATACAATAGAAATTGGTCACAATTCTTACAGACACAAACACACACACACAAACACAAACACACACATACACACAGAGAACCTGAAATTGATTTGAAAGAAACTTTTTTGACAGGATGTTGTTTTGCTCATTCTCAGCACATTTGAAGCAATTCATGAAGGAAAACCCTTCAACATTATCGTATTTGGACATACTCAATATTGTTCTTAATGATGTGCAATCATTAGCTTCTATATTATTTTTATTTGATGACAGCTCTGGCAATTCTTGAAGCCTCTTGCAACCATTTAAATACAAGCACCCCAGATTAGAGAGTTTATTCAGGCTTTCAGGTAAACTTTCAATATTGTTTCCACTTATATCTAAACTTCGCAACGAGTAGATGTGGAAAATAGTTGTGGGAATAGATTTTAAATTACAATCATTGAGATGTAGTCGTTGCAAAGACTCCAACCCTAACAAAGCTTCTAGTTCCAAAGTTGTGTAACTTTCTCTCCGTTTTTGTAAAATTGAAGGCAAAGAAGGAGTAACTCCATGAATACGATGCTACTCCTTTACACCCTTCCAAGGACAATGTTTTAAGTTTCTTCAGAAGTCCAATGGAGGAAGGGAGTTGTCTAATAGAAATCTGATCTAAATGAAGCTCCTTTAAGCAGTCCAGAGCACCCATGTATTGTGGCAGTTTGTCAAGTTTGGAGCACCCAAAGACATTTAGACTGCTAAGAGTTTTCAACTGACAAATGTTGTCTGAAATACTTCTCAATTTTTTGCAATTGCTCAGACTCAATAAAACAAGATTGGCAAAGATGTCCAATTGAAGCTGGAAGTTCACTTACACCAATCCCATCTAAATCAAGCTCTAATAAACATTTCATATATCCAAAGTTGACTGAAATGTTTTCAACCTTTGAGCACCCAGAGACATTAAGAACTTCAAGAGTTTCCAATTGAATGTCACTATGCAGAATTAGCTTTGTTAAATAATTAAGTTTAGAGTGTTCATACTTCTCAATATGATCTCTTACCATATTCTTCACCAGCACATGTGTCGAATCTTCATAAAGCCAATACCTACTACGCTGCCTAGGCTCTTTAGGTGATTCCTGACGAACAACATTCCACCCCAGTTCTTGTATCAAATCATGCATCATCAGTTTATTGTCTGAGATAGTTGTAAGAGACTTTTCAACAAGAATTTTTATTCCAATAATTGGGTGGAAGTCACAACTTTCTAATATTTTTATTACATCATTTCTGTCTTTTCCTTTGAAAAAGAATGCAATTTCTAAGACTATTTCTTTCTCTTCCAATTGTAATGCATTGTAACTTACTCTCAGTACTTTTGCACTTCATTCAAAGGGCTTTCCTTCAGTCTATTTAATGTACTTTCCCATTTATCTTTGTTTCGGCCACAAAGAAAAGAACCCAAAACTTTGAGAGCTAAAGGAACTCCTTTAGCGTACTTTAGTGCATAGTGTACAAGTTCTCCATAGCCTCCCATTTGTTGGTGTTTCCTAAAGGCTTTCGATTTAAAGAGTTCTATAGCTTCATCTTCTCCTAATCCCTCAACCTTTTAAATATGTGTTATGCCGTATCTGATTAATTTATGTTGATTTCTAGTTGTTATAATGATTCTACTTCCAAAACCAAACCAATCAAGCTCTCCTACCAATTTTTCAAGTTCTGTTGACTCATGCACATCATCAAGAACAATATGAACCTTCTTACGGCATACCCTATTGCTTATTGTACTTAAGGCACTACCAATATTTCCTACTTTCAAATCTTTCTCCATTAAGATTTCGGAAATGAGTTGTTCGTGTAGACTTTGCAGACCACCTTTTTCTGAAACTTCTCTAACATTTTCAATGAAGCTGTAATCTTCAAATTGGCAAGAGATATGGGCATAAATAGCACTTGCAAGAGTTGTCTTACCTATTCCACCCATCCCCCATATCCCCACAACATGAGCATCATCCATCCCTAATCCTAGCAATTTAATCATTTCCTCCATACTAGAATCCATTCCAACTAGGTCTTCAGAAACACACAAATATGTGTGATTTAATTTTCTAAAAAGTATCCCCACAAGTTCCTGGATGAACATTGATTCGGACCTGTAGATTTAGGCCAATAGTAAAAGAAATTTGTAAATCAAAACTCAAAACAACTATAAAAACGTAAACTAACATTATTTTAATTGTGATTAATTTTTCTCATTGCAAGGGATGAAGATAATTATGGAACAGGACATATAAATGTGTAGAGACATACAGGTAGATAATTGAACTAAAATATATAAAATGTTATTTCAAAACATAATCCACAATTTCTTTTCAGA